AAAAAAAAAATGAGTTGGGGATGTAGCTCAGTGAAGAGGTGCTGGGTTTAGTCCCAAGTACTGCAAAAACAAAACGGGATGTAGCTTAGTGGTAGACTGCTCCTGGGTTTGATATCTAGGGCCACAAATAAAAGGAAAAAAGTTTGAAACGTTATAAAATGTCATCTATCCTCTCACTATAAGGGTCTTTGTCATGGAAGATATTTTCATAATCATTTGAGTTAGCAAAAAATGTTTTTTGAGACAGAGCCTCACTATGTAGCTCAGGCTGGTCTTGAACTCAGTTGATCCTCCTGCCTCTGGCTTCTGAGTGCTGGGATTACAGGTGTGCGCCCTCATGCCCCACCCACAAAGTAATTGTTTTGGTTCATCAAACCCAGGATCCCATGCATGTCTCCTACCTCTGAGTTGTATCTCCTACCCTTCCATTTTTTTGTAAGAGTGTGAGGGCACCCTAAGATCACAGATGGGAACACACTGCTCTGGCAGAAAGCTGGCCAACAGGAGCACGTAACACCATACAGCTTTTAGCCAACTATACAACTTGGGTGATTTTTCAGTTTTTTTGGAAAACCCAATGCCAGGCTTAACATAAAGAGCAAAGCAGGGCCAGGGATTTAGTTCAGTGGTGCTGCACCTGCCTTGCAAATGCAAGGTCCAGAGTTCAATCCCTGCTGCCAAAAAACCGAACCAAACCAAAAAGAGAGCAGCAAAACTAACCACATCCATCTGTCCTTTCCCCTTCCCAGGTAAATCCCACACGGAGTGGCATTTCAGTCTGGGTGCCTGGGATGTCGAATCAGAGCTAACAGCTTTGTCCACCAGTGTGCACTGGGAGGGCTGCTGCAGGCCCCTACGAACCGCACGGACACTGATCTCGATCCCACTTGCACACCATACCTGTGACACCCAGAGTGGGAAGCTGTTCCCTGGCAGCAGAGATGACCCGGAAGGAACCAAACAACACAGTGCTCACAGAAACCTCCGGCTCCATGTGGTCTAAAGACTATGGTTGGCTCTAGGACTTGCATAGTCACTCCTGAACAAGCAACTGTGACTGAAGTTAAAATTGATGTCTGGTTGCTGGACAAGGTGGTGCACACTCACAACCCCAAATACTCACAAGACTGAGGCAGGGGGACTGCAATTTTGAGGCCAGGCTGGAGATGTAGCTCAGTGGTCAGGGCCCCTGGGTTCAATCCCCAGTATTGGGGTAGGGTTAAATCCTGGTGAAAAGCAGGGATTTCCCAATTATCCGCCCCAACCTGCACCAGCCTGAAATAGTTTGTAAGGTACAACTTCTAAATTCTAGTACATTCTGGTCAAGAACATCTTCAAGGAGACAACTAAAAGTCTCAGACTGATTTGGCAAATTCAGGATCAGCAGCTCTGCCTGAAACCAGAACTACCTCCCAAAGCCACACAAGTCCACCTCATCTGTCACGATGGACACAAAATGCACAGCCCAGCCCAAACCATCACAGAAGCTTTTATTACTCAGGGGAAGCAGGGAAGGCCACACACCCTGCATGCCAGCCTCGGCGTGGGTGTGTGAGGGAGGCAGCAGGTGCTGGGGACCCTGCTGGGGCCGTCACCCACTCGCTCCTTAGGGAGAGGCTTCTGCGGGTGGCGTGTACGGCTCAGAGGTCAGCTGTGACAAGCAGACTTTCTCCTGGACAAAGGACAACAGCCAGAACGTGGAAACCAGACGAGGCTCATGACACCAGAGGTACACTTCACCGAGATCATAACTGGGAGCAGAGAGGTGGCACTAGGCTCTACTGGGCAGCCGTTCCTCTACATAAGATGCTTCTGAAAGTTAAACACTGGCAGGGCCTTGCCCCTTGCAAACAGCAAGCAGTACACAATTTCTTTTAAGACTTGTTATCTATTATTATTTGGATTTTGAACAAAATTGATGGAGTAGGAGCCAGTGGAAGAATCTTGTTTGATCTGGAAATTTTCTGTGGAGAGCCCAAAAGGTCGGAGAACCAAGTTCCCAAGATCTTTTAGTTTACCTGCAAAGTAAAAGCAAAAACTCAAATGAACACAAGGTGAACAGAAGCAAGAAGACACCAATTGATCTTGTATTCCTGTCTGATTATAAACTAGGAAAAGTAGCTCTCTGCACTCGAAGTAATAGGAAACCTTTGAGGAGACTTTGCAGGTGCTACTCCCCACTCTGCAGTGCTGTCACTCCAGTGCCATCCCTCCTGAGCCTGTGACACAGCATGTGACTGATGAGCGCTGCTGGCCCCTCCGGGGACACCAAACCCTCCTGTCACACTGGACAGAGCTACCACAGGACACAGACTGCTGCTGCTGGTAGCTGAGGTGACGGGTCCCTAGCTGAGGCTCCCCTCACCCCCGGTCTGTTCTCCAGGAAACATCAGCAGCCGTGTGCTGAATTCAACCCAACTTAGCAAACTTCTGCTAAGCCTGGATCCAAACTCAAGAGCCTTCCATTTTTCTAAGCAGATCGTCAGCATCCACATGCACTTAGCATTTACCTCAATGGTCCAGGGCTCTTTTCCCAAGTTCCAGGGTTAACTGGTCACTTGGGTTACCTCATGTCCTAAAGTCACAACTGAGAGACATGGCTATCACATTTGTATGTCAAAAGTTGGAATTTCAAGCAGTACATGGTAGCCCATACTATAAATCCCAGCACTGAGGTGGGAAGACCACACATTCAAGTCCAGCATGGGACAACTCACTGAGACTCTATGTCTCTGTCACACTCACACACACACACACACACACACACACACACACACACACACACACACACACACACACACCCCCAAAAGCTGTAATATTTCAGAGACTTGTAAGGGATTTGTGAGGCAGTGGGAGGACTACTCTGGGCAGTTTTGGCTGGGATGGGTAAACAGGAAGTTTCAACACTCTAATCGGTCTTAATTTATTTCTGCAGGTCTGCTTCCTCTGGAGGTGAGAACAGGGGTAGATGGGAAGAGACGCCCTCAGAGGTACACACTGCTTCCACCTCCTGCTTTTGGTTTTGTGAGTGGTACTGGGAACGGATCTCAAGTAGGACCTTTGCAGTGAGCTAGTGACATCTCCAGCCCTTTCTGTTTTTATTTTGGGACAGGTCCTCAGCTTCCCAGGCTGGGCTCAAACTCAGGATCCTCCTGCCGCAGTCTCCTAGAATGCTGGGCCTGCAGATATGAGTCATCGCGCCCAACTCCACTTCCTTTCCTGTTAGCATCTTCTGTCACTATGAGCCCCCAAACCTTAACATTAGAGTGCAGCCTCTGTCCTAAGTTCTAGTCCACAGAAGCTCACGGAGTCCACAAACTGGCAAACTTATATCTGATCTGGAGAAAGCACCCAGGCCCTGGGACAACTCTGGCGCAAACACGCTCAGCACTGCTGGTCTCGGAGCATCACCGGCCAGGCCTGGGCTGTCTGCACAGAGACCAGGAGCACAGCCTCAGTGGACAGATGGCTGGGCAGGGGAGCATAGCACAAAGAGCTGAGCCAGGCGCCCTCATGGAAACCTGTCATCAACACAGACCCAGCACTCTTCCCTGGGGCTGGTGAAAGAGAACAGGGAGGAAACAGTCACTTAAAGGAATCCAAGAGGGCCGGGGATTTAGCTCAGTGGTTCAGTGGCCTGCCTTGCAAGCACAAGGACCCGAGTTCAATCCCCGGTACCAAAAAAAAGGAATCCAAGAAACGCCACTGTGGAACAAGTCCTGGCTCACAACAGGGAGGGAAGTGAGAGTAAGTGTCAGGAACCACTTACATCAGACTCCCAAAGGGGCGAGCTACATCTCAGAGGAGCCTCTATTCAAGGTCCATAGGCTACACTTCACAACCGTGAACACTTTAAAGTCCAATTTGCATATTTTATTTGGTGTCTGTTAAATTACGGCCTGGGTATCTACAAAAGTTATTCCTAGCTGTTGAGATGCCCACAGCGTCGTGGGGGAGAAAGACTCAAGAGCCACGTGTACCCCAGGAGGCACCTGCAGACCTGCAGGGTGTGGAAGCCGGGCCTAGAGGGGCCAAACTGTGCAGCTTTGAGCACTGAAGGGTGAGGGGCAAGTCCAGGACAATGGCACAATGGAGTGTTGTTCCCAGGCAGCAATGGCGTGACTTAAGCCATCTGTATTAAAGGGACACTTCTTATTTGGGTGTGGTGGGGCAGTCCTTTAATCCCAGCACTCTGTGAGGCTGATGCAGCAGAAGTGAACTTTGAGCTCAGCCTTGGGAATTCAGCAAGACCTTGTTGCAAAATAAAGAGCTGGGGATGTGTGAAGGCCCTGGGTTCAGTTCCCAGTTATCCCTGCTCTGTCCTAACTCACCTGCACAGTGAACAAAGATTCTTCCAACAGAAGAGGATACCCATTCAAACAGCAGAGGGAAACTTTTCCTTCCTAGGTCCGTCCTTTGTGTAACTGGCTGAAGGAGCCATTTACACTAGGGGCCTTTGAACTTTTAGCCTGGTTGACTCTACCGCGTGAGTCATGAAAGTGAACTTTTCCACATGCAGAGGCTGTTCTGGCTGCTGTCCAGAATCCATTAGCAGGTACACACTGAGCTCACCCCTCCCACGGGCCGCCTGGGCAAGGCAGGGATGGACCGGGGACTCGCATCAAGGTGGGCTCTCTGATGGCTTTGCTCAAACTGAGGTGGAAGAATTTTCCTCCTTCCCCTGACCTTCCTCCCGCAAGGGCACGGACAGCTCTCTGGCCTCCTCTCATTCCAGCCTCATTTCCCCTTCCAGGTTCTTCCCTCAATAAACTTCCTGTCCTTCTGCAGTGGTTTATTCTGTGGACAACCCAGACTAAAACACGGTATCATTCTCCCTCCAACTGCACAACCACTGCCTGCACACATTCCACAACTATCGTTTCCAGAACAGAACACACAAGGGGATGTTCAGATCACTAAATGAGACAACGTACACAAAGTGGCTGGCAGGTAGCAGGACCTCACAGAGACAATGACTAACCAGTCCCCACAGGAGAGAAGACCTGAGATTAACTGACTTCAGCTAATTCCCCACCGCGTACTCACTACCATGCGTGGTGGGGATGAAAGACACAGGGCACAGTGTACACAGCTAAGTCACTTTAGAATGTGATGCGGAAGAGAACACACACAAGAGCAAGTTCATATGAGATGTTAAATGCTACAGGAGATGGCTTGAGTAGGAGGGAAGAGAGAACTGGAATCTTGGGCGATCTTTGTAGAAGAACAGAATTTGAACCAGGCACCAAAGGACAGGAGGACTCCACCACCGGACACGATGGAGGTGCACAGGTAGGAAGAAGGGCATATCCTACACTCTCCTGAGCCAAGCTGGTGGCCTATGGCTCTCATGCCACAGGAGGCCACTGAGGTCTTGAGAACTGAGCTTGCAGAGGGAATAATCTATGGCAATGTGCAGAACGGATGAGAAGGGGAGAGCCCAGGGAGCGCCCAACAGTTGCAAAATTAGCATAGCATTATGGAAAAGGCCACTGAGTCAGTGAATAAACATTTTCCCAATGCTGCATGAAAAACCCCTGAAACCACCATGGCCAATGGAACAAGAACACAGCTAAACAGTACGCTCTGAAAAACTCACCTTTTGCTTTTTGTGATAATGGCAGCAAATAAGCAGCAACCTTTGGTGGAGATCATGCTCCTCAAGATAATCACTCAGGAATCTGCCTCTCCTTTAGAGTCAGGCTAGAAGCTCAGATACTAAAGCAGCTTTCGTCGACTCCAAACAGGACCCTTTACTGGAGCCGATCTGCCACACTTTCCACTGGCTGCCAAATGCTACACCTCCCCTGCCCAGACAGTAATCACTGGGCCTCCTTGTTTTCTCCTACAGCAAAGCCGGCACCTTCACTCAGTGTGTTCCTCACTGCGACGCTCCTGCCCACCAGACTAGGGAGAGACTAGCACTGAACCGCTTGTGCTCAGACAAGACTGTTGGGAACTGGAGACCAGTGCTCGCCACCGGATCCAGTTCTGATCAATATTAATTTCTCTGCCTCCAGGCAACACTGCATCACAGTAACCCAACTGATCCTTCATGCATAATGTCTTTGGAGACAGACAGCACAAGGTGGTTTACCTTGAGGGTAACCAGGAGCCATTTGTTTTCCTCTCCTTAAGAACATGGAGTTTTAGCACAGCCCCTCTGGGACCTTCTCCTCCACTTAGAAGAACCAAACTGCACACAACAGAATCCTACTACTGAGTTTCCTCTAATGCGGCAGGGAACACGCGAGGCAGCTAACTCTCACTTTCCTCTGAGCAAAAGGCAAATTAAGAAAACACAAAGCAGGAGAAGATAAAACTCCAGCCCAATTCAAGTGCCTTTTTTAGCCCTGGGATGAAAGCAGAGGCTGACATAAGCTTTTCCAAGAACTGTCAAAGGAGGAAGAGTGAAATAAATGGGGCACTGAGCGTATATTGAGATTTCCTAATGGGAGAACAAAGGCAGCTGACTACAAGGAACTGTTTTAGAGACCCTAATGTGGCCACTGCATGAAATCTTGCCAAGTACACAGTGTGCAGTGCAGAATGCTAGACAGGGCAACATGAAGAGAAGAGAGAGAAAGCAAGCAAGCAAGCGAGACAGGACTGGATTTCCCTCGCCACCTGTGGCTGCAGCCTTAAGAGAGACGGAGACAGTACAGTCTGTCTTTCGATTCTCAGAAAGGGGGTGATGCCAGGACCCGCTCCTACTACTCCTACGTGCAGAGCAGAGAAGAACACCAGGTAGCAGTACAGCTGCAAAGAACGCGCTGGATCTTGAAAGGACAAAGGACTATTCACCCAGCTCCAATACCTCTCCACATGTAGTCCTTGAATGTAGTGCTCACGTTAGCCTTACAAAAAAATTACTCTCTTTTTTCTTTCTAGAAGCACTGGGGATGGAAGCCAAGATCTCCTCGAGGGAACATGCTAGGAAGTGCAGCCCCAAGATGATACCCTTATGTTTATGAATATGCCTGCAGCAGGCTGCTGGTGGCCAGGAGTGATCCAAGCAACTATAGGAATCGACAGATTGAAAATACATCCAAGGTGGGGGAGGGAGGTGACGGCATGCATGGACAGTCTGGAGTGGGTTAAGAACAAGGCCCGCATGTATGCCAGACTGGTTCAAGCAGGGAAGCAGCAACAGGTGCTAGTGCAAGGAAAGTAGGATTATGTGTCAATGCCCTGTCTTGCATCTGTGGCATCTCTGCAGGAAGCCAAAGCCATGCAGAGGAAACTGCCTCCTTAGAGTTTGGAGACAGTTGGGAATTGATTCCCTCTGGAACTGACAGTGGGAGGAACATGGAGTTAGCAACAGCTCCTTTATGTTGTATATTTATTGACTGATTTATTGTTTTGGTTGATGTTGTTGTTTTTTAAGACAGGGTTTCACTATGTAGTTGAGACTGACCCTGAACTCACTAAGTAGTCCAGCCTGGTCTTGAACTCACAGTGATCCTCCTGCCTCAGTCTCCCCAGTGCTGGGATTACAGGCGTGCGCCACCATGCTCGGCTGGTTTATTGGTTTTTGAGACAGGGTCTGCCTATGTAGTCCAGGCTGGTCTTGAACTGACTATGTAGCCCAGGGTGGCCTTGACTCATGGCAATTCTCCTGCCTCAGCCTCCTGAGTGCTGGCATTATAGGCTGTTGTACAATGCCTGGTCCTTTATGGTTTTAGACTGCTTCAAAATATGGACCTAAAACTGGGTGTGGTGTCTCACATCTGTAATCCCAGAACTCAGGAGGCTGAGGCAGGAGGATCCCTGTGAATCTGAGGCCAGGGTGAACATAGGAATTTGACTTCAAGACCAGCCTGAACTACACAGCAAGACCCTCTCACTCACTCACCCATTCACAAACACGCCAGAGACCAATGCCTAAGAGAAAAATCATCTTTAAGTCCATTAGGACCATTCACAAAGTGAACTCAGCATGAAATTCAGTTCAGCTAAATGTTTCTTGTTTTTTTTTACTTTGTTACTAAAATAAAGCATCATTAAGCAAATAGGTAAGACAATGCTCTTTTCCCTCCCTTTTTTTTTGAGACAGTGTCTCACTATGCAGTTGAGACTGACCTGGAACTCACTACGGAGCCCAGGCTGGTCTCAAGTCACAGTGATCCTCCTGCCTCAGTCTCCTGAGTGCTGGGGTTACAGGAGCACGGCACCATGCCCTACTTCCCTCTTTTGATGAAAATTACTCCTAATTTTTCTGCTCAACATGGTGTTGAATTTAATTAGATATGTAAATTAGGAAAATAATCTTTTTTAGAAAAACTGGGCAAGGCTCCAGAAATAGCCTGAATCTGAGCAGTTCTCTCTGGAGTCTTGAGGTGACCCGGCAAGGCCAGGAGGCTCTGGACAGTCTAGGTTAGCAACTTCTGCTCAGCCAACTCTGCTGGAGGAAAGATTCTTTGGGAAGTCTGTCTTCCTTCTCTGCATACTGGGGCCAAGGCATAAATGACCAAGCTCAATGTATCTTAAATGATTTTTCCTTTGGGCCCACGTGACTGCAATACACTGAATATAATCCATTTAACAGATTTAGAGAAGCTGGGTGTGGTGGCACACACCTGTGAGCACAGCACTTGGGAGGCTGAGGCGGGAGGATCACTATAAATTTGAGGCTAGTCTGGGTTACAAAGTGAATTCAGGGCCAATGTGAACTGCATAGTGAGATCCTGTCTCAAACAAAACAAAACAAAACAAAACAAAACAGGCCCCAGGTTTGATCTCAGGCACAAAAGAAGCCAGGTAGGGAGCTTGTTTTTTTTTGGTACTGGGGATCAAACTCAGGACCTTGTGCATGCAAGGCAGGCACGGCGCCACTGAGCTAAATCCCCAGCCCTGTGTGTGCATTCTTGAAAGTAAGAAAAAATTTCCAAGAAGGACAATGGAAATTTGGTTTGTGAAAAAGGTGATACCCTCTCTAAATCACACTGTTCTTTCTAGAGAAAAATGGCTAAAAAGAAGGTCACTGGCCCCCTGTATTGCCACACACTGCAAAGGAAGGGTCTGCAAACTACTGAACTGTTATGTTCACTTCTAGTAAATAAAAGCACTAATGTCTCCACGCTGGTTTCCTAGCTGTTTATGGTCAAGTGAAAGTAAGGAGAGCAAACTTACCTAACATCTCTTCTTTTAGTCTTTCATTACGTTCTTCAATTTGCTTAGGTAATCTCTGAGGGAAAAGCAGAAACTAAGGTTGGTGAAAAATTCTTTGCTTTTTTTGAAATTTTTGAAACATTTAAAACCCAACGTGCAAAGATCAGCTTGGGTATACAAATATGACCCCATTAAAGGGAAAAAGCAAATACAATGATGCCTCAGCTCAACAATTCAATTCTTTTTTTTTTTTTTTTTTTTTTTGTTTTTTT